ACAAATGACAGATTTGAAAATTTTTTTAAACAAGGAATATACAAACCATTTTTTTGGGATTCATTACCATTATCAGATGATAATAAAAAAATCATCAAGAATGAATGGATGAAAAATACGAATAGATTAATAAATCTAGAAAAAAAAACAAATATGAATGAATACATCGACAGATTATTAACCATATCTCAATCTTTAAAAAATGATCAATTATACTTTCCAGATTCTCCTAATCTATTTTCAGAAAATTTAAAACATGAAAAAGATATATGTAAAAATTACATCAACGATAATGGCCCTATCAAAAAATTAATTCAATTATCAAATATATCAAAACACGCTAAAGAAAAATTTGAAAACCGAAGATTGGAAATATTACATGGTAAACCTATCGAAATTAAACCAAAACCTGAAATACCTAAACCTAAACCACCATCAAAGCAGCCTGAAAAACCTGATGATTCTGAAGATAATTTATTCAACAAACTAAAAAAGGAAATAGATGATGTCGATAAAAATAATGCAGAAATATTATCAGAAGATGAAGATTTAGATGAGAAAATAAATAATTCAAAATTATCACCTGATAAAATCAACAAATTACAAGATTTAAGAAAAAACAAACTAAATAACTTTATAACTGAAAAAATTAATGAATTTGAAAATAAAATTAAATTATCAAAAACTGAAAAAGAATTAGATGATATTTCTGATATATTAATTAGTGATAAAATACTATCAATTGAACAAAAAGATAATATCGTAACATTATTTAGAGAAAAATTAAAATCATTCAAAGAATCTGACAAATATAATGAATTTATTCGTGATATCAATAATTCATATACAGAAGATGAATTAAATCTTTTGAAAGATAAATTATCTCAAGATCAAATATTGACACCTACACAAAAAGATGAAATCAAGAAAAATATAGATGATAAAATAGATGAAATCAAGAAAACTGCACTTCAACCTGATCCTAATGAAAATATCCTTGTTGATGAATTAGAAAAGGATATAAAAAATATTGATAAAAACAATGCAGAAAAATTACTTGATGATAAAGATTTAGATAAAAAAATTAAAAGTTCAAAATTATCACCTCCCAATAACAAAAAAATACAAGAATTAAGAAAAAACAAACTATTAGAATTCAGAAATAAAATCAATGATGAATACATCAACAACATCAAAACAGAGAAAAATGTAAATATATTAGCAGATATGAATAATGATTTAACAAAAAATAAAATTCTAACGGATGAACAGATTGATAACATATCTTCATTAATATTAGAAAAAATAACTAAAATAAATGAAAACAATGAAATATATGATGAAATCAAAACAGATATTGATGGATTCTTAACTCCTGAAAATTTAGATGATTTTATCAAAGAAAACATTGATTCTTTTGATGAAGAATATCTATCTAACAATAGAGATAAATCATCATTAAATAAATATTATACTGAAAGACGAGAAAAATTAATCAAAGAAATGACAGAAAAAGAAAATAACTTTTATTTGGAAATAATGACAACTATAGGAGATTGTAAAGACTCAAATCTACTAACAGATGAATTTTACAATAGTATCTATCGTAATATCGAAGAATTAAATGAAAATTATCTTGATAAAACAAATACCAAAGCATTTTTACATGAAATGAGAGAAGATAGAAGAAAACAATTAGAACTTGAACAAGAAAATGTATAAATATCTTGTTTATCTTATATCATTATTCATAAATAAAAATAATGTATAAAAAAAGTGAATGGAAAAAGTTCTTTAAAGAAAAAAATATTCCTAAAACTGATGAAAGTAAATGGTTTTTTTCTGGTCTCAATATTGATCAATGCAAAATCGCAATAGATAATGGATGGAATAATTATCAAATAATAAATAAATGTGTAAAATATCGTGAATTTAAAAAAATTAATGTTTTAGAAGTTAAAAAATCTGAATTAGATACATCATTAGATATACTTGAAAATATTCTAAATGATAATAAAACTACATTTAAATCATTACCTGAAAATTATGAAAAGGATAAAATAGATAATTTAAATGATAATTTTTTACCACGTGGTGCAAAAAAAAATGATCTTTTAAAAGCAATAATAGAAAAAAGAAATACTTTTAGATACAGAATCAATGAACCCAATAATGAATTTGATAATGATAGTCTGGATCCAAACGAATATCAAAAAATATTAAAATCAATTAATGAAACTCAAGAAGTAATTTTTGATAAATGGAAAAATAAAGTTACATCTGAATTCCTTAATGAATTTTTAGGAAATTTCTTAAAAAGAAAAGGTGATGAAAATCTTGAAGAAAAAAATCTCGATAAATGGTTGAAAGGAGAAGATCCTGGACCTATCAGTGAACATAAATTAATGGGGTACACATTAAAAGATAAACCAAAACATAAAATAAGAGTAGCTGAGATAAAAAATAATAAATTTACTGGAAATATCAATGAAGAAATCTTAAAAAATGGAATAGATGGTTCTAATGTTATAGAAGAAGAAAAAAAACTTGATAAAACATTAGCTGGAGCATATTTACTATCTTATGTTTTCAACCTTATAGATTTTGATCCAGAAAAATTAAAAAATGATGATGGTAGTTACAATTCCAACTATTTTGCTAAAGTAAAAGACAGTAATGAAGGTAAAATACCTGATGTAGATGGTCCTGGAATCTTGCCTATATTAACTGGTGGTGGTAAAACAACTAAATTAGTAAGATATTTATTAACATGTATATTTCCTGGAAAACATATTATCTTGATTACACCTAATGAAGAATTAGCCGCAGATGCTGAAAATCATCACAACACTTGGTTACAATATGCTAGTGGTGTTCCTTATAAATGCGTTATTCACAGAAAAGAAGAAGAATTACCTTATATAGTTAAAAATGGTGAACTCGCTTCATGGATAAATGGAAACAAAGGAGACAAAAAAGAATCAAGTGGTGAAGATGGAAAATCGACATTATCTATATTACAATTACATCATCTAGTTAGATACATAGCATATGGTAAAGTAAAAATCAAAGAATTAAAAGACACTAAAAAAATTCATGAAAATTTTGATAATATATTAATCGATATCAAAGAAAAATTGATCGATAAAGAAAATACCATAATCATCTTTGACGAAGCTCATTTTCCAAATACAAGTTATCAAGTTGTACAACCACTAATAATTAGAATGGGTTATAATGTTTTATTAATGAGTGCAACATTTCCCAAAAAAAACTTTTCTATATCTACATCAAAACCTAGAGATGTTTATTCATTAACTAAATTTGATAATCAAACCGATTGGGAAAATGAAAAAACACAAATATTTTTCAGAACAACTGCAAATGAATATCCTAGAAAAACGACCGGTGAAGAAGATAAAGATGCTGAACCATTACTAAAATCAGGATTAACACCAAAACAATTTGAAATGTTGGAAAAAAGTGATATACCATTTGTAATATTCGATAGCTCAAATTCTTCTGCAGTAACTGGTATCACTGAAGGGATGCCACCTGGTTCTCTTTTCATAGCAAATGTAAACCATGAAATGGGTTTTAGTCCCGCTATCAATAACGTAATATTAACTGGTCAAACACAATTACAAAAATTAGGAAAAGAATCTGGTGCAGGTAGATGGATTTATGATAAACCTAAAATTCAATTCTTATCAGTTGCTAGTATGATTCAACAAATTGGTCGTGTTGGTTGTCTCACACCTGGAAAAGCTTTCTTGACAACACAAAAATTAAAAGAATTAACACCTCCTAAAGATATAGTATATCATATAATAAGTGGAATAATGCTCCCTGCAAGTGAAGAACCAATGAAAGAATTGAATTCACGAGGTTATCCATTTACAGCATCAACTACAGATCACAAATATCAAAATTTACTATGGGCATCCATAGCACTTCCTTACAAAAAAAATCGTCCTATGGAAGCTGTGATGATTGGCATGAAAGCAAACCCTAAAGTAACTGTTAGCAAAAGAGAATTTTGTCTAACGTATGAAAATTTACCTGAACCAAATGTAAAAGATGATAATCTTTGAACTTTACATATGGATGGTAGATTGCCACCACCTGAATTAGATCTAGAAAACATAAAAAATATACAAATCTTGATCATTAAAACAAAATTAAGAGCTGTTGATCTCATTAACAATCCAGAAGTTTCAATAGAATCTAAAAATTCATTAATAGAAAAGGTATGGGATCTACCACCTAATAAAACTGATACTATACCTAATGATAAAAAAAATAATATGATCAATGAAATAAAAGGAATAGTAAAAAGTATAATAATAGAAAAAATAAATATCAACAAAATAAAATACAAACCTAAAGAAATA